GTTTGCACAATATCCAGCTGCCACCAAAAACTGTACCTATGAATTGAATCAAAATTATACGAATGAATGATTAATAGAATAATAGTTAGTTTTCCATTTATAGCTTATACATGTGTATTCGATTAATGCCCAACTTTGACAGCTGTCTTCCGGAAGCGACTAGTGAACTACTTAAGTGAGTATTATTGTTAAAAATTTATAGCGAGTACTTTTTAAACTGTTTTCATCGAATTTTTTTTTTATGATCATTTCGATCATCTGTAATCGCGTCGAAGCATTTTGGAAGCAACCGAAGCGGACATCCAGGAACACAGGACCATTCTTAGATATCCATTTGGAAAAATTACCAGGAACGGGTATTTTCGTAGGAATTTGTGACTTTTATCTTTATCAATACAAGATAATATATTCTTAGTATGATTATTATGTAAGTGTATTTTTACCGGTAATATATGCGACCACAGAGTGTTCATTCAAAACTGTTACCATTCAGTATAATACTACAATATTTATACTCGATGCTGTTACTAAGAAAAATCGTTTTGAGCTTTATGAGAATAAGTCGTCAGTTCGAATCGTTCAACAAGAACATCATAATACGCATATTAATTACGTTTTCCTTGAAAAATATATTTAAATTTTATTTAAATTTATTTAATATTAAAATGTTTACAGTTTTAATATTTAAATATTAATTATTTCCCTCCAGTAATTGCAGTGTGCATATTTTAAGAACATTGGAAGACGCCTCTGACCCATAATATTTTCAATTGTCTAAAACCGTACGTTTTTTTATTTGATTTATTAGCAACGCTAATTTCACCGTCCTAATTGCTGTTATCGAGTTCTAACCTAGTTTTGCGCCATTTAGTTTCATCAGAATCACATTTTAGTAGAAAAAAAATTTCTTTCTTTAATTACGGTTTCGAAAACATTTAATTTTTCTTAATAAAATTAATTATTGAAAATAACCACAAAACTATCCGGAGATCTACACACAGGGAGATGTTCAAGTTCTGAATATTATTTCAAAGGGTAAATCATTAAACTTCCCAATCCTCCTATAAACGTTAAAATATCGAGAAGTATTTATTAACTAGAAATATTTATACAAAAAAGATTTATTTATTTTCATTTAAAAATTAAATACTGTATTAAGTATAGTATAAACAATATATATATATATATATATATAGATTTAATATCTAGCTATCTATCTATTTGAATATGCGGTTATCGATTATTTCCATCGTTCTGCATTGAACGGGTAAAACATGAATACTTAGGGACATTTTTTATTATTTTATTTGAAATTTGTAAAAATAAAGCTGTTGTGTTAATTATAACGCTGTTCACTCTGTATGCACAATATGATCGATTTACCTAGCGGTGAGTCATGTTCTTTGAAAATAATAAAAATAATGTTGTTTTTCTTAATGGACAAATTTGTATTTATTTTATTATACTAGACAACTTTCTAAATTTTACTTTTTTTACTATTTTCAATAGCTGTATATATATTAACTTATCAATATTAAAATTGCCGGACGGTTTATACCCAGTTTTCGATAATTTTTTCAAGCGTTTGTGACTTAACCGTAGGTTAACTCAACAGCTATAGCTAATAGCTGTACAAAAAAACTAATGTTAAATAATTAAAAAAATTAAAGGTACCTAAACTAACTCTGCCACAATGACGTTATCTACATCATAGTTGTTATATTATACAATTGTAGCGGGACAATAAATAATAAATATTTTATACTATTAGTAATTTTAAGCATTTTTAATTACCTTAAAATTGTAATTATTATTATTTTTTTCAAGTTTTTTTTTGCTATAATCAACATAATATAAAATTAATTTTTTTTTTTCAATTGAATTTGATAGCTAATCAAGTCATTTTTCAAAATAATATACATTTATTTTATTATTATTTTGTTAAATACTAAAAAAACAATTAAATTTAAATGAATAATTTATAATATTATAAATAATAACTTAATTAAAAATAAAAATATTTATTAGGTACCGTTAAGTAATCTATTTCTTAGTTATTGCTTGAGTTTTGTAATGTCATTAAAAAAGTAATATTCAAATAAAACAATTTTTGAAAAACACATACGCAAGCTCATATGAAAGTATAGTACATTTCTTAACAAATGGAAAGTGGAAAAACTCCTACACAAGAATTAGATTATTCAAACAAAATTCAGAGTTTAGAAAAAGAAACAATTTGACTATTTTAAACCAAGTTGTAGCGTACTGTTTATTTAAGTTTAAAAATATGTATATTTGTTTGATTTTGAAGGGGAAGAGGTGACATTTTAGATTCAAGATATTTGTTTTAAAATGGTGTGTTTTTCTTTATTGCATAAAGTGATTGCATGGTGAAAAATTTACACGCATGTTTCTATACCAAAAAAACCTAAATCCCAATAATACCAACTTAATGACTCAAACCTAGCAATTAAGTATACGTTATGAGAAAGATTTGTTTGTTATAAATCTACGTCATTTCTTGCATATGCAATTGAGTATAAAACTTTTAGGATTAGCATATGTTGTGCAACGAAATCTGGGAAGAAATAGTTAGGACTGTGTATGGACAAAGACACATACTAGGCACTTGATCATACATACTAAATACGTTTAAAAAATTATAAATAATATATACGTTTAATGTGACAAACATTTAAAAAACAAAAAAACATGAATATAGTTATGTGTTTGTGAGAGAGTATAAATTTATTAAATAAATACAGTTTTAAAAAACTAGCAATGGTTTTTGAACGATTAATGAAATATCAAAAAAAAAAAAAAATAACCTCATATAAAACATTTTTATTAGACTATAGATATATTTCACTGACTTGGTAGTCGGTTTCTAAATGTCAAATAATTAAAAGCAGTGTGAATATCCATGAACTGCACGTTATGTTTATCGTAGTAAACTAGGTTCAACTTTATATTGTACTCCACCAATTTTATTCAACTTTGGTATACTCGAAAAGGCTGTCAAAAAATAATTAGGATTGGTAGTTACATTCTTGAAAATGTATTGCCCCTGTGAAAATAATAAATTCAATACAATATATTGAATACTGGCAGTATACTGCAAAAATGTATTGTTACATTTTTACATTAAAAGAAGGTACCGACGAGTACCATTTTTTTAACATCGAGTATTAAGCTAAATAATGAATATATTATTGAAAAATAATTTTCTGAGTGTCTCTAAAACGTCATCTTTCGGTTAAATAAAATATATCTTTGCTCAGAAACCATCAAAATCCGAGTAAAACGCACTTAGCATAGTTATGATTAAGTTAGAGTTATAGTTAAGAACTCGTACAAGAACATCGTAGTACAGACATCAGTTATATCAAACGTTTTCATATTACAGCAATCAATAAAATGCTCTTTGCATTTGAGTGCTTCGATATTAATCTAAAGCCAAGAAACGCCATTAATGATCAATTATTCTTTAAAGCATGACAAAATAAACTCGGCTTACTCGGCCTTGTTCAAACACGACATTGGTATTGAATTGGAAGTCGAGATACTACTTGTCATAATACTGTTTAATACTATAATGTATGACTTCTCCAAAAGAATGGTTCACGTTTACATTAAAAAAAAAAAACGTATTTCATGCCGTATAGGCTGAAGTAATGGAGACCCTAGGAGACCCTACGTGCAGTATGTAATTATTTTATATTATTAAATTTAACAATATCAAATTGAAATAAGGGTTACCTTAGATTCGGCAAAAGGTAAAAATCACAGTGATAAGGTAAAATAATTTGACTGCACTATAGTTCATGATTGGTTTTAAATAACAAAATGTCTTCATTCGATATACCACCAAAAGTGTATTTTCGAATTCCTTGATCACAAGTTGTACTCACAAACTGTAATGATACAGAGAAGATAATAGTGAAATAGTGAAAAAAAACATAGTATTATATCTATTATATTGTCTCAATTGAAGCTACAATTGAAATACATTTTTTTAGGAAAAACCACTAGAACCATGTCATTGTATGTTCAAATTGTACATAATTACAATAACAATTATCATCCATTGTTAAAACTCTTGGTTGTCAAAAATCAAAACAGAGTTTCCTGTTTGTCCTCATTCGTTTGCACTGTGTGTTTAATTATTGACAGGTCGTTAACCAGTTTTGAGTTAATACTTTTAAAGTTATTTAAGTTTAAATTTTAGAACCGGGTGGTAGGTTGAATGTAGAATTCATTTTATCTACACGCATTACTCTACCGCAGTCATCTTTTCGTCCTAATATTATAACAAAAATTACTTCTTAATTTTACTGTAAATCTGCAAAAAGTCATGTCAAACGTCTCGAGTTTAATCCAAACATATTTCTAATATCTTGTCTGTTTGTCAAACCTTTTTTTATTTTCATCGAAAAAGATGAATACTATCCTATCCTTAGCTACTTAGTAATTCATTCCCCATTCTTTTTTTGAGCCAACTGTCTTTAACCGGCGTAATGTGCCAAAAACCAATGTTAAATCGATTATAGTAAAAATAAAAAAAATTAAAATCGAGTTTATTAATATTACCTAAATGAACTTTCTACTGGACAGAAAATGACAGGAAATGTAATAGCTATTTGGAAAGCTTGGCATACAGCTGTGTAAATATAGCAAAATCAAGAAGATCATTCAAATTCTTGTCAGGTTCAACTTCTTTCTTTTGCCATAGATCACACCATGAAAGTGCTTGTTCTTTTAAATTCTCTAGAAGTGGACTATACAATTAATTGACGTTGATACATTCTACAACTTCCACAAAAGATTGATAATTCAAATATTTGCAGTGTTCTCTTAAATGTATAATATGTTAAAAAAACTAACCCATTAAACTTTGTCATAATTTAGGAGTTCCTAACATTTTTTTTTTTACTTCATTACGTATCGTGTAAATTTTTAATTTATTTTTTGTAAAATTTTGTTTTCTTTCACCATAAGTATTACAATTGTTTTTCAATTTTGATCAGCTCTGTTATTCCGTCGTTCATCTCCTTGACAGCTTGATATTCCGTTAGACCCATTCTCCTCTTGTTGGAAATGTCATAAACTCCGCCTTCGGCGTCCGTGTGTTCGCCCCGGGTTCCTCTCACCTGCAAGCTGTACTTGGCGGCGACTTGTTCCAGTTTAGCTTTGTCGGCGGCCAACTTGGGCAACTTAATGTGAACGGAAGCCCGGATGGTCGTTCCCAAGTTGGTCGGGCAGAACGTCAGAAATCCCAGGCGGTCGTGGTGTGCAAACGGAAGTCTTTGCTCGACGTCGTTCACGGCGGTCACCAGCCTCTTGTACACCTCGCCCAAGTTGCCTCCCATCTGCATGGAGATCAGCCTCAAGTGGTCCTCTTCGTTGCACCACACCAGGAACGTCTTGTCCCGGTTGTGGAATATGCCCCGGCCGGTCGGCCAGAACCGGGACGCGTTTGCCGCTTGCAGAAACCTGTCGCCTTCTTTGAACAGGAAATGGTCGTCGATCAGCTTCTGTTGCACCGTTTTGGACATGCCGGTCAACCGGTAAAACTCTCCTTGCAGGTCGCCGGCAAGTCCCTTCAACGTCGTCGACACCTTCTCCTCCATCTCTTTGTACTGCGCTTCCGTCAGCAGCGGGTTGAACGGGTAACCGACCAACGAACGGGCGCACCGCACCCGCGTGGAAATAACATATTTCTTTTCCGCGTCCAGGTCGCCAAGCGCGTTCACGTCTCCCCAGTCTTTTGCCGGATGTTTGTCTGTGGGTTTGAAACCTTTGTGATAATCTTCGATGATCGGGTCGAATATTGGCGCGAACACCGTGTAAGCTTCGGCATCTGGCGCATAGATACCGACCCCCGAGTCGTGATTCTCAAATCCGGACTGAACACAATCCAACAGGGTCGAACCGAAGCTGGTCTTTTTGCCTTTTAGTTCTCCGAACACTCCTTTGGTGAGATACTTCTTTATCAGGGATTTACTGTCGGACGACGCGAGCGAACACCATCCGGATTCCAATTTCGACACTACGTTCCGGTCCATTCCGCATTTTTTGAAAATCTCGAAATTCCGACAGCAGTTTAACTTTGTCGGTAACCAAAAATTTGAACGAACCGGAAGTGATTTGTAAAAGATGTTTTTAAAACACGTCATCGATGTGTTAATTTTAAAATGTTAAAACGGTAAAAACTGCTGTTGATTTTCAGATGAATTTAGAAAATTAAGTAGTTATAGTTTTTTTTTTTATATTTACGAGCCAACAAAAAGTTAGATTATACTAAAAAAATTGCACTTAAATCATTCATAAAAAAAAAAACAATTGTTTTTTCTTTCATAAATACGCTGTCATTATTTTTTCAAGGATTTTTTTAGATTATGACCTACAAGTGTTTAGTAGTCACAAATGATTGTTTATTAAAAAAAAATGTTAAAAAAATTTAATAAATATTAAATCTTTAGTTCTTACAAAAAAGTAAACAAACATTATAAGAAAAACTAGGAATTGTCGTCAAAACAAGAACTAGTGTACAGCATAGGTATACATTTCTGATAGACATGCACTGAATACTTGTTGAATTACTACTCATACATCTTAGTCAGCTCTGCACTGGCCTATCGGGCAACCAAATTGGTAGCAAATAATTAGGAATTAAAATTTTCAAAAATATAATCATATTTTTTGTAAAAAAATAATGGCGCGTCATCTCATCAAATGGTGTTTTCGGCTGAAGCCACCTTCGCTCTAAACTCTATACGTTTATCAATACATAAAAAAAACTAAACTCGTGTCTTAATAATAATAAAAAAAATGGTTTTTATTTACTTTTGAACTGCTGCTATACAACGCACACCGCAGTGCCCGAATAATGTCAAAATGAATATCAAAGCTAGTACTAACGAAAATAGCGTCTCTGCTTTGCATAGAAGCTAAAACTAACTTTTATAGAAATAAAGCAATGTGTTACTGTACAAATTTAACATTCGTCGGGCGCTCCCTTTCTTTGTTATCACAGAATAACATTAGATATCATCGGATAGGCCTACCTTAGTTTCTCTACTATTTTAGAACAAAAATTATTGCTTGACAACATCAGACACATATAGATTTACACATAAATAATATTACCAAACACTAGAGTAGGGAATTCAAAACTTAGAGTGCAAATACAATTAGGGTTGATCGTCTGTCTATAATAATTTGTTTTTTTTTATAGGTAGTACGTTTAAAAATAGCGTAATTTAAAATTAATACACATTTAGTAAATATAACAAAAAGTAACGTTTTTTTCTTATAATTATGTAGTGTATTATGAACTATGCAAAAATCAATTTTTTTTCAACAAATTTTGTGACGCATAAATCTACATTTTTTATCTCCCTGGAGCTGCTTAAAGCCAATATAAATATAGATAATATGCCAAATATGAACCAACGTTTGGAGCAAACCCACGCAGATTTATTTTAAAAATTACACTGCATGTCGGTTACGATGGAAAGAATGATTTCAAATTTTTGGGTTTGTTTTTTGATGATTATGTCGTAAAAATATTTTTCAGTTTATTTCTAGACACTTATTTTTTATAATATCTCTGGCCATCATCAAAAAAATGATTAAAAATGAGTTTCTTGTGTAAAAAAAAACTCAAAAAATTAATTAATTTTTTTTGCGTAACAAAAAGTCATCAAAATTGAATTTATAATCTGAGTATAATTTGAGGATTTTTCTGATATTTTATTCAGAAAGCAATTGTTTCTATGCGTTTCTATTAAAATAAATAGTAAAACCAAAACGAGATAAAAATTCGTAGAAAAGTCGAAATAGAGCATTAAAAATATACTTAAAAATTAGTTGAAATAAACATGTGTAAAAGTAAGATCATTTTTCAGTTTTTTCGAATTTTCTATGCACTTTATCTACGAAATTTATCCTCAATTTCTTACATAAAACAATATGTTTTTTAACTTTCCTTATTAATAGCTCCATAGTATTATAAAAAATAGAATAAGTATAATTATTAATATTTATTATATTACATATAAGCAAAACTTTTCAACTAGTAATCAATAAACCTCTAGAGCCTAGATAAAATAATACAATTTGTAGAAGCTTATAATTTAGGCTGCATCAAGTGCATCACAAGAGCAGCCAGTAGTAGTGCAGGTCTGTCTAAAATCAATCATAGAACTCACAATTAAAAAACAATTCCAGAGGCAGATTAATTCTAATAAATTGTATTTTTTATTCATATTTCCATTACTATTATCTACAAAATATTAGAAATTTTACATTGTAATTCATAATCACTAAAAATTCAATTTTCACTAAAACATCAGTGGTGTTAAAAATAATTCTTAACTTATAAATACTACGAGTAATATACAAGGTATTAAATTGAAACAGACAAATATGAACATTATATCATAACATTTTTGATAATTTAATATTACACAATGCTTATTGTAAAAAAAAATTAGTACATATTATTTTGGCGGGTTTTTTTTTTTGAAAAGGAAACTTAAATCTGAGACTACCCGAGAAAATTATTATTCAAAATAAAGCAAACCTGGAAACATTGGAAATAAGCATTACTTCATCTTGGGTTCTCTGCAAAAAACTAATCGGGAGAATTAGAAAGAGTAGTAATTCCATTCCCAAATACAAACCCTAATTCAGAATAGTATGTCCTGGCCATCATGTTGATCAACTGTTGAACTTCAAAGTTAATGATACTATCGAACTCTTCATCGTTGACTTTATTACATTTCACACTTAAAGTTGCCAACCATTTACTTATGTAACCATCAGCGCCCACAGCAGGCTCAACACAGTGAATGCTATTGAATTTAATCAAATTACGTCGTTCTTCATCTTTATCAATCTTAATCAAGTTGTCGAATAATTTACGTAATGACGTGGAAGACGTACCAATTTTTTTCTTATAATCCTTATCGCCTTGGATGGAACCATAATCCGTCATTATGCCTAAGTTCTTCTGACTATGTCTTATTCCAGCGAAAACCAGTCGGGCCTTACTTTTAGTCTGAGTCGAGAGTTTTCTCGCGTCCATCAACAAATCATTTTGAGAATCTTTTACCGGGATCATTCCTATTACATAATCCAAAGCTGTGAACATGATTTCCATCGGCGGCTGACATTTTTCTAAATGTAGTAACAAATCAATTAAAATTCCCCAGGATTTCCTTTTGGTTTCATCTTTAATATTCGGACATCTTTGTCTTTCCTTACTGCAATACTTAATAAAGTATTTTGAAAAATTGAAAAATCTTAGTAACACGTCCGTGTATACACACCCAAACAAACGTAGTGTCATGTAATATTTTGTCTCTACGTTTTCCAAATCGACAATATGATTATCCATATCTGCTTCGAAATCTGCGTTTAGGTCCAACTTATGCTCAATATTTCTTACTAAATCTTTTCCATTGTACGATTTCACTTCATCGCCAGCTGGTTCCAGACACTTGGCTCTAATTTCGATTTGCTTCCATCCTGAAAAGTTCAGGAGCTTATTCAGTGTGTTGGCAAATCGTTTGTCGTCCTCGGTGGGATATAATGAAACTTCACAAACTACAACTAAAATAATCAGTGGTGCGATTGTCAAATTGAAAATCATATTGAAGGATCAAAAGTATTCAAACAATTTAACACATAAATATACGTTCTAATGGTTCTAAAACAACTGATGGTTTTTAGAGAAGAAATGATACAAAATATGTTACCTTTAGCGTATGTGTACTCAAGTATACGTGTTCAATACTATTTGTATGAGTACATTTCAGATGTTTGATAAGAACACACGCATTGTTGTTTTTTTCTTTCTTTCATTGTAGAAACTCAAGGCCTAAAATTTGACTAAATATTTTTGTCGGCTCCTAAAATTTTATTCTGCTGTTATGCCTTTTCTTTTTTGTTAAATTGAAACAGGCAAATATGATCATTTTTTAGTTGCATTTTTGATAATTAAATAATAGACAATGCTTAATTTCAAAACAAAGACTTAAAGTCAACCTATATGTTTATCTTTAAACTAATCAATGGGAATTATATTAGAAAAATAAGTAATTCCGATCCCATATACAAACCCTAAATCAGAATAGCAAGTCTCGACCATTACGCTCGCTGTCGTTTAACACGTTTTCGATTAATTTCAACAATACCCCCGAAGATTTACTAATTGTTGTCTTAAATCTTTGATCATAAGTTTTATCGTCTTCGTTGTATTCGTCAGTGGTTTTTGTTTCTATTCTCTGTAGTATAGTTATTAAAGACAAATGTACATGGGCGTAGTTTGCTATGGGGTTATGGGGACTACAACCCACCCAAAAACTTTTGTAGTCCCCTCACGGTGTTTACTTTCATTTAAAACATTTTATCCGAAATTACAGTTATAAATATTTTTATAATTCTCCCTGAAATACATCAAGGCTTCAAATATTAGCAGTGTAATGTTCATTGTACTTCATACTTATACCTATTTATTTTTATCATAAGAATAAACATTTTTATTTATAGATCAAAAGACCCGTTAATGACTTCGTATTAAACATTTGGATTTACCCTGTGTGATCGTCGGGTCGAGGTCGAGCATTGTCGGGTCGTCCGATGATAATATTATGACAATAACGTACAATAATTGTATAAAATTATCACGTTCGCTGTCGTTTAACACGTTTTCGATTAATTTCAACAATACCCCCGAAGATTTACTAATTGTTGTCTTAAATCTTTGATCATAACTCATAAGTTTTGTCGTCTTCGTTGTATTCGTCAGTGGTTTTTTTTTTCTATTCTCTGTAGTATAGTTATTAAAGATAAATGTATATAAGTGAATAAGCAATTAAATGTAAGCTAAACAGTTAAATGAAAACTAAATTAAATTGTCAGAACAGCAAAAATTACAATTATACTTTATTATTTAAAGCCGCCCAAAATACTATGTCTCCCGTAAGCGTCCGTCGGTTACGAGGGTAGTATTGTCGCGTACTGTATTGTTTTTACATTGTTTTATGAACATTATATTTTTTGTGTGTTTATTCATTTTTTAGTTACTCTTTTTTACTTAACTTTTAAAGTGTTACCTTTTCTTTCATCTCCTTAAAGGTAACTAAAACTAAGTGTTATTCAACAATAAATGTACTACAATAAAGACCGCAAGTCCCGAGGAAGCCAAAATACGGCTGGTGTTTCTTTGCTAGTGTTAGCACTCCCGTTCAGGTTATCAACCCGTTTATTATAGTAATAAAGTTAGTCAATAAAATTGTCCCGAGGTATTATACTATTTATAATCGGAGGCCTGACGTTGAATAAAAAGCACACGAGGCAGAATCAATCCAGAAGAGGTGACTAGAGTTCTGCCACATTCATGCACCACTTATTAAAAGGCACCTTAGTTTTAGATAAAGAGTATTAAGTAATTTTATTTATAGTGTGTGTGTGTGTATTTATAACTTTTCGTGTACGAAAGTACGTATACGACAAAATTGGCGCGCAAATAGTGACTTAATCCTTCACG